ATCATCTATCTATATTCATTTCAACGATTGGTCTAGGAGCCCTGGTGGCACAATGCCGACATGCGGGCAGCTGCTGAGCAGACCTAGTCAGCAGCATCCCGGGAGAAAGACCTGACAGCCTGCTTGTCTTGGCGTTATAGCCTGGGAGCCCGCTGCGGCTCTTCTGTCCTGTCCTGTGAATTGGAATCGACTTGATGGTTCCTAACAATAATCTAATACTCATCTATCTATCTATCCGTTATTGATCTATCGATCCATCTTCATCCTTTCACTTTCTCCTTAGCTCTCCCCAGCGGTTCAGTCTCGTCTTCTGCCTCTTCTCCCTCCATGTTGCTGGCGCGGGCTCACCTGGGCAGCCCAGGAGCATTTCATTATCACAAGGGGTTATGATTGTTGGGTGCCAGCCTCTCAATTCCCGCTCACAGGAGCCCCTGGGGCAGAGTGGAACTGCCCCACACAGTGTCCCAGGCTGTCAATCTTGACAGAGGCAGGCTGTCAGGGTTTTCCTCTGAGGAGTGATTGGTCAGCTTGAGCTATTGACCTATCTGTTGGTAGCCAATTGCTTGACTATGGAGTCACCTGGGTCCATACCTTTAATTATTGCTGAAAAGTCCCATGTGCCACTTAAGGCAATATAGTCTCAGGGTCCAGGGATTGGAGCATGGGCATCTTTGGGGTGTGTGAGCATATGACTTGAACACCCGTAAGTGGGTGTACACATGTGCATACATACGGCAGCATATACCACTTATTTCTTTCTAATGTGTGGTTTGCCCCTCAAGAAGGAAGCCTGTTTCTTGGTTCACTTGCCCACAGTTGTCTTAACTGTTCTGCAGGAAGTAAAATGTGATATTGCGGCTTTAAGGAACTGGCCAGGTTGGTACATGCAGATCAAATTCATCCTGCATTTGAGTTATGGTGCCGGGGAAGAATGCTGAAAGTACCAGAGACTGCTAAAAGGATACGTCTTGGAAGAAGCACAGCTAGCATGCACCTTGGAGGCACGGATGGCGAGACTTCGTCTTACAAACTTTGGACATGTTGTCAGGAGAGACCAGTCCCTGGAGAGGGACATCGTGTTCGGGACAGCAGAAAGAAGACGGCCCTCCAGGAGAGGGGCTGACACAGTAGCTGCAACAGTGTATTGCAGCATGGAAACAGCTGTGAAGACAGCGCAGGCCGGGCAGTGTTCTGCTGTGCTGTGCATGAAGTCAGGAGGCGTTGGATCTGACCCAACGGGCTGTCACAACAACAATTTTTGGAGCGAGCCCTGGTTGCATAGTGGTTATATGCTGGGCTGCTGAACGCAAGATCAGCAGTTCAAAACGACTAGCTGCTCTGAGGCGGAAAGATGAGGCTTTCTGTTTCCTGAAGAGATAGAGCCTCAGAAGCCCCCAGGGACCGTTCGTTCACATCCTACAGACTCGCTGAGAGTCGGTGTTGTCGTCTGGCAGGGGGGTTGTTGTTTGAGTTTATCCATCCCACGAGGAGAGCACATTTGATCTTCTATTGTCCCACCTATGGACTGTCTTAGCGCGCTAGAGCTACTGCAATAGCTGTGTCACCAGTGGGTGACCTGGCAAACAGAGGTTTGAATTCTCACACTAATGTGGGCCTGGGAACCTGCATTCAGGGCACTGGCTGCAGGGGGAGGAGGGGGTCGGACGGGCAGAGTAGGCTTTCTCTCTCGGCTCGCTCTGGCAGGGCAAGTCTTGTCTCTCTTCAGTTTCTGTTTTCTTGGCGATTGGCAGGTGGGATGGCATCTTTGTCTGCTGCTCTGTGCTGAAATCCATGGATTTCGGACAACCCTGCTCAGACACTGCCTAATTAACCTGACAAAGAAAAACCCATTGCCAAGTGGCCTTAGAGCCACAGGTATAAACTCAATACAAAACTCTCTGCCACCCAGCGGATGCCGACTCATAGCCACTCTATAGCGCAGGCTGGACCTGCCCCGGGGAGTTTCCATGACTGTCGCTCTTGAGAAGAGCGACCGTCTCTCCTTTCTCCTGAGGAGTGGCTGGTGGGCCTGCACTTCTGCCCTTCTGGTTACCAATTACACCACCCCTTTTTTTGAGGGATCCGATTCAATCTATAATATGGACATTTAGGTGGCTTCTCATTTGGGAGTGGGGTTA